TCTATTTTATTCACACTATATTGTGCAGCCCTACTGCACAATATAGGGGGGGGGCTTGCTAGTCATCCTATAATTTATTGCCTTTTACTGTTTGGCTTTTAAAGTTTTAGGTCAACACAAACCACCTTAAAGTTAGTGTTTTGGCCTTTGGCCTATTCAATCACCATCTGAAACTTTTATTTCAGCACAACATGGTTGGGCTACAGCTGCTAAACAGTCACTAGACATCCAGATATGGACCTGTTTCAGCTTGGATCTGCTTGCTGAAGATGCTGCTGCACTGAGAGTTCATAGCAGCAACCTTGAACGTATACAGCTCGGCGCAGTGCAGCCCGCTGATCAAGCGATACGGTTGCGGTGTTGTGTAGTTGGCGGCCGCCCCACCTTCCTTTAGGGAGTGGATAAAGTACTGAGCTCCGGTTTCCGGACTCAGGTTCCAGCTTACAAAGATGTCGCTGTTGCTGCAAGTTGTCACAGCGGTCATGTCAGTGGGCGGGCAGATCACTGTGAACAAGACACACAAAGTTTTTTTTATCAGTTTGCTTGTGCTAATTTCAGAAGACAGATTAATTTCTGAATAGTCATGGGCTGGTATGTTAAAACTATTATAGTATCACAGAACCCAGACAAAAAATAAAAATTAATGTACAGTCATCTTCAATAAATTAGAATATTACAGAGAAGTTCATTTATTTCACTAATTCACTAATTTGCTTTCACTAAGTAAAACACATTATATAGACTATTTACACACACACTGGTGTTTTAAAACATGTATTTCTGTTAATTGTGATGATTTCTTGATAAAAGCTAATTAAACAAGACATTTAAGATTAGAATATTTCATCAGAGCAATAAAAAATACATTTTTAATGTAGAAATTTGGGCTTAAGTATGTTTAATACCTGCTTAAAGGTTGTGAATTTAGAAAGCTAATTTTAATCTGACAAATAAGTCTCATCGGAGTGCATGTTGTTATTTATTGAATACGACTGTATAACATGATCTAATTGTTTCGATTGAAAAAAAAAAGATGTTTTATGAATAATTATATTTAGTCAATATCTAAACAGTCCCAGTGATCATTTTATTGTTCAAAATGTCTAAATAGTTAATAGACATGTAAGTTAAAAGTGGAAATAACCTTTTCATAAATCCAAATTGGGTTTTTAGACATCAATTACATTTTGTGCCATGCATACCTTTATAGCCGAGTCATTGCACTATTTTTATTTCTTACATTTTTCCCTCTAACAGCTTTGTATATCTTAAGGCAGTGTTTTTGTCACACCTCTTCTGCTGGTTTGTAAGAAACATTTTTCAAATAAATTAAAGTACACTGCAAAACATTACAGGATACAATAAAATAAACTACAACCTATTTTAAATAAGAAAACAACAAACTACATTTACAGTGTAAATATTTTAGGTGTAACAGTTTTCTTTACTATATAATATTTAACATTGCTATCAATACATTTCACAAAAACAAAATGCTTGAAAAATGGGTAATTTCTTCATTTAATTTGTTCATACCACACCCCCTTTGCAATGGCTTTGCACCCCCTAAGGGGGCACCTTGCCTACTTTGGGAACCACTGTCTTAAGGATAAATATCACATTTGAAATGGTTTCTAATGACCTAATCTTTATACAAAAACCTGGAAATTTAATAGTTGCATGTAGATTTTTGAGAACTATACGAAGTGGATAAACAAAGTAGTGTTGAATAGTATTTATGCATCGGAAAGGAACTCAGAAGGTTGACTTTTGTTGAAAAAGAGCCCCAGTTTGTCTGTCTGACCTGTTTTGAACATGAGCGGGTCACTGGGTTCGCTCCTGCAGCCTCTCTCTATGGTGACTACAGTGATGGCAACTGTCTCGCCGCAGTGCAGGTCTGTGAGGGAACAGTTTGTTCCATTGGTAGAGCAGCTGTGGACATGTTGATCCATGACAGAAGGCACAGTTGCAACCTCATACATCTCTGCCCACAGTGCTGCATCCCAGGTCACATGGCCCACGTTACCGGCACACTGCAAAGATGCTCTAATGTTTGTGGGAGGGCAGGGGCCTGCAAGAAGGTTGTTTTAAAACATTACATTTTATATTAATTATTATTTCTCCCAAACTGTGGGCACTCTAAGGTATAAGGTAAATATTTTTTCTATTTAGCAAAATACAGTCCTAAATTAAATTTCAGTTGCAGTTTATATTTTATTGAGACCTACTGACAGGACTTTTCTCATTTGTTTTTCACCTGCATAATAGGTGTACGCCCGCGTCTCTTGGCCCCTGCACTGGTTAGAGGAAGGACTGATGATAATCATGTAAGTCTGAGCGCAGTGCATGTTGGGTAGCTGACAACTTGTGGTGTTTGTGCTGCACTGCTTCAGATCACCATCTCTTCCAGTCGCCATCACGGTGTACAGCACCGCTCCGGAGCTCTGCTTCCAGCTCACCTCCGCTGTGTTGTTTTCACACAATAGAGACACGTTGACATTTGTGGGAGCGCATGGAGCTGATGGGAAGAAAGACAACACAGTCTATTATTTTGGAAAAGAAAATCATCAATTATCTGAATCTATGAAATGTACTCTAATGTTGTAAACAAATAAATACACACTGTAAAATGTTTTGTGATTTTAACAAAGAATAAGATGCATACATTTTAATTATTGTGGGTCTTCTCTTACCCACATAGGTTTAAAATTCTACAAACAAGCACAAATAATGATACACATATACTAATCTTTATGTTTGTAGAAGTGGTGCTAAATTTACAGGATGTTTTTTAACTTGACAAAGCTAAAACCTATTAACATTTAGTTAGTGATGAATACCGATTGTAGCTGGTAGTTTGTCTTTGCTTATTCAAAAGGATTTGTTTGACAACACATGAAGATCTAAGGAGAACTGTAGGTTTTAAGCAACCAATGTCTCTTTAACTCATTGCTGAAAATTTGCAGATTTTAAAATGGTTTATTCAAGTTGTGTGTATATGTTACAACTTTGCCGAGGTTTGACATCTAAGCCAAGCCAACTTTATTTATAAAAACTGCAAACACTCTCCTTATTATGTGTTCTCCACTGGATTGAGTTCTGTTTTTGGGAAGTGTTCCCCTGGTTCTTGTCGGTTTTGTTTGGACCCCTGTATGTTGGAGCTTCCTGAACACCTGCTCCAGATTTGCACTTATGCTCAACAGGACTATGAACAGAGCTAGAGTTAAACTTTCTAATTCCATATCGTTCCACTGCCAAAAATATGGACTAATGGTTTGTATGACATGAATGACTGTGTAGGTAAATAAAACTGCAAGCACTGACCAAAATATTGAACATAAAATGAAAAAGAACAAAAAATATAAAACACAATAAAATACAAAAAAGAAATGCATGTAGAAGTATCAGTAGCAAAACAGAACATCAGCATCAGACAATCAGCAATATCCAAATAAAGTTGACATTCTATATGGGGTTAAAAGGCAAACTGAAAACATGGGTCTTCAGAGCAGATTTAAAAATATCTAGGGAGGAGACCTTCCTAGCTTGTTATGGCAGTGCAATCCACAATGTGGGAGCTCTCAACTGGAAAACCCAGATCCCCCGGAGCTTCCTGATGTGTCCTTGGTTAGAAAATCCAAGCTGTCACCATCAGACGAGGATATACCCAAATGAATCTCAAACCGGCCATGAACTAGAAGATGCTGGAACACCAAAGTCACTCCTCACAGTGAAATCAGTTTACAGTGCAATGGACTGAGAGGGTGCCGACCATGAAAGAATGCCTGCTCCAAAATCAACATCTCTCAACTTGACTGAAAGTAGCAGCTGCCCATATGGACAACTTAAATGCTCCCAGTAAAATGTATGGTCAGCCCAAGCCAAAGCTTGAGTTATCTGGCCACACTGGGGAGAATAATATTTGAAGGCAGTGGCAGTTTTTGATTTGGACAATATGGGTCTTTGCCAAAGGGGCCACAGCCATAGGGGTGGGGAGTGAGCAAACTTTAAGAAACATGACTTTACACTGCTGCGGGCTAAATTTCCACTCTGATTTGCAGCTTTTCATTGGCTGCTTCAATAAAGGGCTACCTCATCATTTTTTAAGGATTCCAGACTTCATTTAATCATCTCTGCTCAGACTAGTCAAACCTGAGATACATTACTTTACACTGCATGTAGATTCTTTAAATAACAGTTTGAGATTTACAAAACCTTTGAGTGCCTTGTTGCTGAAAAGCGCTATATAAATAAAGTTGACTTGACTTTCATTTTGGGCTGTTTTGCTGCCAGTGGTACTAGTACATTGTAACAAACTAGACATGATAATGAAGGAGAACTATCTCTGGATTCTTCAACGTCATCTCAAATAAACAGCTAGAAGGCATCTGGATGTTTCAACAGAACAAAAGACCCCAAAAACACATTAAAGCTGGTTTTAGAACAGATGAATCGAGATAGCATTAAACGTCTGGAATCACCTCACCAAGATGTGGACCTTCTTCAAAATCTTTGAACCTCTCCTCAAAATCCAGGAAAATGTCAAGAAACCAAATATTTTAACTGAGCTCTGGCAAATTCACCAAGATGAGTGGTCTACATCAAGCCAGAAGCTTTTTGATGACCACAGCAAGCATTTGGTGGAGAGGCAACTTGCCAGTTGATGTTTACTCAAATTTTATTGGGATGTAGGTATGTTTCTGAGCCTGTTTTTATATTACAAACACCCATACATTTTCTATACTGACTTCTTCCATACAGGGTCACAGGGGAGCTGGCACCTATCTCCAGCAGTCTACGGGAGAGAGGTGGGGTTCACCTGGACAGGTCACAGGTCCATCGCAAGGCAACACAGGACAAACAACCATGCACAGACCCATTCATTCCTGAGGGCAATTTAGAAAGATTAATTAACCTAACTGTCATGTATTTGGACTGAAGGAGGACCACAAGAGAACCAACGCATTCACTGGGAGAACATACAAACTCCATGCAGAAAGTTCCGCTGCCAGGAGTCGAACCCGGAACCTTCTCACTGCAAGGAAACAGTGCTACCAACTGCACCACGGAGCAAACTCTTCCCTATAGGTTTAAATTTGTGAACCAGATGTTTGTTTCTAAAATTCATCAAAGTTAAATGTTGAATTAACACCTTAGAAATAACATAAAAATAATCCATTAAAGGTCTCAATGTTATATCATTCATACAGTTGATGAGTGCATGTAAAATACTGTGACCATTACTACAACTAATCATCTTTCATCCATTGCCTAGAACCACTTATATCCAAACACTGGATCAAGATGCATTTTAATGTATAACTTTATTATTATTATCCCTGTTTTTTACTCATTTTGTGATGTATATAGAGGACAACCAAGCATACACAAACACGTTAGGTCCAGTTCTTACCGGTCTGTATCTTTGTGATCCCAGGTACACTGCTGTTGCAGTTGGCAGCCACAGCTATGACTTCTACGTCATACGTCCGACTGCACTGCAGTGGAGGCAGTGAGCAGTCAGTGTCTTGGCTGGTGGTGCAGAAGACTGTGTGGTTCCCAGATTGGGCACGAACGTAGAAACTGTCCCTGCCTAAAGCCTCGTCCCAGCTCACGAGGGCATTCCCAGGTCCACAGTAGTACTGGTGCTCAACATTGCCAGGGGTACATGGCGCTGACGGAGAGAAGACAGCCAGGTGTTTAACAATCTGATGTAATGGAAACTCAAGGGTTTTTGTGTTACTACATATATATATATTATGACAAACCTGTGATAATCTGAAAAGCAGTGCTGGGTTTGCTTGTGCACTGGAGTCCTTGGGCAACAGCCTGGACCATGTAGGTGTGTCCACATTGCAGATTATTCAGCACACAGCTGTTGTTGGTGGAAGAGCTACAAGACAGCGAGTGTCCCAGGTTGGAGGTGGCATTGACCATTACACTGACGGCATCCATGTCCTCAACCCACGTAACCGAAGTGCGGTTAGTGGTGCAGTAATGAGATTGGTTCTTAATCACTGGGCTGCAGGGAGCTGCATGCCAAAAACACAATGTGAAATTCTATATTATATGTTATTGAAAGAAATGTTTGTGTTTGACAGATAGACAAAAAAAAAGGTTTTCCTCCAGAAACTTCAGTCCTTTTCCACCGGCTCTGCTTTGGCTATCTCCACTCAGTCTGTTTTGTGACTTTTTCCATTACTGGCTTTTCTGGCCCGGTACTGGATTTTTTTTGGTACCTGCTCTGCAGCAGATCCTTTAAGGGCTGAGCAGGGCCGAACTGTAATTTGAACAGTCTGCTGTTCACTGATTGGCTGTGGGTTTGGTCAGCCGTATGAGTCCCAAAGGAGAAAAACAACCACCATTTTCCAAACTCGCTACTCTACAGTCAAGCCATGAAATTCTTTTTTTTTTTTTTCATACTAATATATTTATTAATACAGTAATCTTTTCCAAATCATAAAATTTACTTTTTTATTGACTTATTTATTTCATGTAGCAGTTTTTATTCAGTGTGGCAAGTTTGGCTCCAAAAAATAATAAAAAAATCCCAGCGCTTTCTAAAGGTCTATGCCTTTAGAAATTGGAGGAGATTTCAGAATTATGTTTATTTGGAGATATATTGAGTTTGCATGTGGTAATAATGCAATAATCGTTTACATGAGTTTTATTCCCAGCAGACAGGGCATGCAACCGATTCTTCTGGAGAAACTTGCATTACTCAGTTAAATATTTTTTGTATAAAAAAAAAACAAATTAAATGTAAAATTTTAAATATTTAACATATGGGGAAGTTCTAAGAAATGCTTAAGAGGGAATTTGCAATATTCACCTGTTATTACGTTGGTTTTAGCAAGAATGGAGCTGTTGCACCTTGTGTCCCCTGCCAGCACAGTGACCGTGTAGTTCTCCCCACACTGTAGCCTGGTCAGCCCACAGGAGGTACTGGTTGAGTTACAGGAGTCCACATATCCGTTGGCCTCAGCGATGACCGTGTAATAATTCGCTCCTGCGCTGGCGCTCCATGTTACCGTCACCACGTCAGAGAGGCAGTTCAGAGAAGCTGTGACGTTTGCAGGGTCACATGGAGCTGGAGATTCATACAAGTAAACAAAGATTCAGTGAATAAAAAACAAAACATTTGATCAAACCATGTTTCAACTTCAACAATCATAACATTTTCAGTTCAGGCAGGGGATCTTGTGGTGCATTGCATTAGCAAGACAAAAAACCCCGAAGTAGATTAAAAAAGTGATTATATTTTCAATTTTTTAAAATTCTACTTTTTAAAAGTTACTTTTATTACATGTTTTGACAAACTCTTTCTAAATATCAATACTGGTACAAAATAAAATTTTTAAAGGATATATTAAGTGTAAATAATTGTTGATTTCAAATCAAAATCATATATTTCTTCCCATCTAAATGAAGTTATAAAAGAACTGGAGTTTTTATTTTGATATTAAATGTACAAATTAAATAAACATATCTGCTAAAAAAAAAAACTACTTCTGCTCTGACTGAAAATATACTTTAAGAATCAGAGGTGAATCACAATAGTTAATGCTATTTAAGTTTTTATTTGGTGTCTGACTTTATTAACAACAAATAAAACAAAAGTACATGTTTATTTTACATGTTAAGTTCTGTAACCATTTCAAAAGGACCTTGTTCTCCATGAAAACTTGCATGCAGTCATTTGCACTTAGCACTTGCACTTGTATTGCTGTACTTAGATGCTCCACTAGGGGGCCTAAAACATGTAAAGGACTAACTCAACTCTGGTAAAGGTGTAAGCATCAGAAAAGCGGTTAACAAAAATGATACACATGGTGTTATTTGGCTGAATATCACAAAGAATCATATAAAATATGATTGAGGACAAGATGTTCTTTACATATAAAAGTAAACGCCTTACATTTATTGTAATGTTTTACACTCACCAGTTTTTGCGGTGACATTGTTGCTATTTGTGCTGTTACATCTGTCATTAATGGCCACCACACTGAAACTATAACTCTGAGCACACTGCAGGTCAGGGAAAGCGCAGCTTTGGTTAGTGGTTTGACAGGAAGCAGAGAAACCTCTTGCTCCCCTCAATGTGGAGATATAGGATGTAGCTCCAGCAGCAGCCTTCCATGATGCTTGAAGCGTATTGGTAGAGCATTCCAGGTTGCTTTGGACGTTTAATGGAACACATGGTACTAAAAAAACACAAGAAATGACAGCAGTGAGAGAGGAGAGTGACATTGTTGGGTGAGAGTGGTTCTGACCAGTGACCTTTAGAAACCCACCTGAATTTATGATCTCTGGGACGCTGCTCTGACCTTCACATGTGCTGCTGATGGGTTTCACACTCACGTTGTATTGATAACCACAATGCAAGCTACCTAATGTGCATTTGTAATCTTCCGTAAAGCAGCGGAGCGTGGTGCCGTTTGGAGCCACAGCGGTGGCACTGTAGTTGACTGGGATGGATCCAGGGGTCCAGGTTATGCTCAGTGCGTTGGTGCTGCAGTTAAGCTTGGTGAGCACACCCTGGACAGCACATGGGGCTGGAACAAGAGGTAATAAGCTGGACTTAGCAGTGTTTGATGCTTGACCTTGTTAAGTAACTTTGAGAAAATAGAAATGCACAGAAGTGGGGAAATGTATTGAAAATGAATGAATAAAGATGTGTAAAAAAGTTTAAAATGTACTCAGATTTAGTTCTTGCAGCAGCCTAGTCTGAAACTCAAAAAAACTAGTGGTACCCCTGCTGCCAATACCTCATACTGAGACAGCAATTAATCTTCTCCGACAACATTTCTCTAGGTTGGAGCATACAGTACCAAGGAATCTACAAGCATTCCTCTTGCACAGCTTTCTAGATCATCCAGTCACCTGAAATGTTTTTTATAGAATTGAAGTCTGGAGGAGTGTGATAGACACATGTCTGGTGAATCAGAGACAGTGGAGCGTAGTTAAGATGGTTTGGCCCATCATTTGGCAAAGCATTTGTTTTGTCCAGCTGAGTATCCCATAAAGATCTATTTCTCCACCAGCAGTGTTTCTGCAAAGCTTTTGACAACCATTTTTCTTCCATTAGTGCATTCAAATCAAGTGGTACACTAGAAAAAACTATGTTTAGGTAACGTAAAAATTAATAAATAAAAATTCTTCATCATTAAATGTCACCAAGGTCTTTTCTAGCACTTCATAAACACAATGCTTGACTATTTTCAAATAATTTTAGATTTGAACAATGAGAAAATTTAACCAAAACTCCAGCGTCTAAATCCACAAGACGTAGAGAATATCAACAATCTTCCAGTCTGTTTGAACCTGAACTCTTGGTTTCTGCTCTTGGACCTGCAATTTGATTAATGAAAACAAAATATTCAAGCATGCTGCAAGAGAATAGTATGACAATTAAATCACATGCTTCATTAAATATAAACCAAGACTGCTCACCTTTTTGATAACAGCTTCTCTTTATTTTTGCAGGGTATTAAAATGTGAATAGTGTAGACGTGACTGGAGTTTAAGTCAGATTTTATAAGTTAATAAAACATAATATAGAAGAGTTAAAAAAGGTCAGTTATATTTAGGTAGTGTTGAATAACTCTGACGTGGTCTTTGATCCTAGTTTTTCGGCAGGCAAGGTAAATCATTTTGGATGTCTTTCAGTAAAGAAAATCTGATGTACGAGGTGCACTTTAACACACCGTGAGGTTATCAAAATAGCTATAAACCGCTGTGTAGAAGTGTAGGGAAGAACTAGTGTGTTAAACATACATCCTGATGCCAAGACTCATTTTACTAATTGCTAATATTTGCAAAAAGGTTGTATGTGAAAGGAAGATTCTTGGAGAAAATAAAGAGTCTCATGGAATTATCACTGGTATTCCAACTGAAGAGGATCTGGAAAAACGTTATGGAAATATTCATGGAGGTGAAGAAAGAGAGATTGAAAGGTTTGCTAAAACTGCTTTTGGAGTCTCAGGGTGAAGTTCTTCATGATAAAATATGAGTAGGATTAATGGATTTTCCTCTCAGGCCTTGTATACCTACTCCTTTGCGCTGTTACA